AACAACAGCCTTTGTTATCCCAGGCAGGGACCTCTTCCAAGTAAGCTGTTTCCTCCTTTCTTTTCCTAAAATCCTCAGACTGTTTAATGTAGGCTCCTCAAAAAGGGAACCTTTGTGGTGTGCGCTACAACTCAAGGCAGTTTATAGCTTTGTAGACATAACTGCAGACACAAATCTCTATAGGTGCAGACACACAGAGGATTAGGAATTTGAATTTGGGGTCTGGTTGATACACCTCAAGTGTACCCATCTCATCAGAGACAGGCTGGGTACAACCAACACCAGCGAGGCTGCATTGGCTGGAAGGAGGCAAGGAAAATGGAGTATCAGGCAGTAAGAACAGCCCATTCTGCAGCCGTGGGAACATGAAAGCTGCCGGCAGTGCTGAATGGGAATGGACGTGGATCTGTGCCCTGCCAGCTCCCCAGGGGGCCTACAGCATCCCAACTTGTTGCTACTACAAAGCAGCAATAAACGCAGCTTTTCTTAAGCCTATCTCAGGCTTCCTACAGTCACTGCAGTGGGCTGAAGGTTATTTCAGCAGGCAGCCTGCACCCCACACCCCCTGTACCTCCTTCTCCAGCAGTGTGGTCTGGTGCTGCTTCGCCAGCCCCTCGTCCCGGTCCTCGCTCTGGGCGAGGTGCAGGGGCGTGATGGGGATCTGCTTCTCCTCCCGCAGCGGGGTGGTCTCCACCTGGTGCCAGCGCTGCTCGATCTCCACGTGGACATTCTGCGGTTTGATGTCTGCTGGGAGGGGCAGGATTCGGTCCACCTCCATCCTCAGTGCCTCTTCCGACCCTGCCCCATCCACAGCGTCGATCATCTCGAAGCGCTTGCGCCGCTCCTCCCGCCGCCGGGCTCGCTCCCGCTCCAGCTCTCCCGAGTCGGTGTCGGTGGCACCCGTGTCCCTGGGGAAGGCGGCTGAGCCACCACTGGAGGAGTCTGCCGCGTTCGCACGCTCCTGCACCAGAGCTTGTTGGATGGGGCGAAATTCGGCCCAGTCAAAGGTCTTGGAGCGTCCTTCTCGCCGGCGTTCCCGGGCACGGCTCCGCTTCTGCTCTGGGTCCAGCTCAGCTTGCTCCGCATCCGGCTTCTCGCTCGGCTTTGGACCAGTCTCGAAGGAAGAGCTTGTTTTGCTTTTCTCTTCTGGCAGTGAGCTGCGAGGACACAGAGAGGGTGAAGGAAAAGTGTCAGTGGGTGCTGGAGATGGCCAGGCGCTCCCATGCATGCCTCGGAGAGCCAGGTGGAAAGGGGCTGCTGGAAGCCCAAGCCAATGCCACGTGGTGACCCCCTGCCCCTCCATCTCCTGTTGCCTCTCTGGCACAGGAACTGCTGCTGCCCTTCCCCAAGGATGTGCTGGTGAGCAAAGCCTCAGCGCAAGTGGCCCCGACTGCTCCTGGGACCCCTTGGCGCCCGGAGATCCCAACCTCACTCCTCCTCGGGGCCAGTGACCAGGACCCAGCAGCAG